GTCTGACATTTCCAGCGGAGTGATTGACGGGCACAACCAATTGTCTGACATTTCCACCGGAGTGATTCACGGGCCCAGCGGAGTGATACACGGGCACAAACAATTGTCTGACATTTCCAGCGGAGTGATACACGGGCACAAACAATTGTCTGACATTTCTAGCGGAGTGATACACGGGCACAAACAATTGTCTGACATTTCCATTGGAGTGATACACGGGCACAAACAATTGTCTGACATTTCCAGCGGAGTGATACACGGGCACCATCAATTGTCTGACATTTCCAGCGGAGTGATACACGGGCACAAACAATTGTCTGACATTTCCAGCGGAGTGATACACGGGCACAAACAATTGTCTGACATTTCCAGCGGAGTGATACACGGGCAAAAACAATTGTCTGACATTTCCAGCGGAGTGATACACGGGCACAAACAATTGTCTGACATTTCCAGCGGAATGATACACGGGCACAAACAATTGTCTGACATTTCCAGCGGAGTGATACACGGGCAGCTTATTGAAGTTCAGTATTACCTGCTTGTGTAGGAATTTATCGTCTGACATCAAAAAACAGATTAAAAAGACATGCAACCATACTAAAACACCTCAGCTTGAAGGATTATGAAGTCAAAGCTATGTGTCAAACAAAAACAGATGTGGAGGCTACGTAGATGTAGAGCGGACAGATCCAGCACCTTACCAACATTTAACAAATTGCAAAATAGGTGACGAGCAGCCAGATCTAGCACCTTACCAACATTTAACAAATTGCAAAATAGGTGATGAGCAGACAGATCCAGCACCTTACCAACATTTAACAAATTGCAAAATAGGTGATGAGCAGACAGATCCAGCACCTTACCAACATTTAACAAATTGCAAAATAGGTGACGAGCAGCCAGATCCAGCACCTTACCAACATTTAACAAATTGCAAAATAGGTGATGAACAGCCAGATCCAGCACCTTACCAACATTTAACAGATTGCAAAATAGGTGATGAGCAGCCAGATCTAGCACCTTACCAACATTTAACAGATTGCTAAATAGGTGATGAGCAGCCAGATCTAGCACCTTACCAACATTTAACAGATTGCGAAATAGGTGATGAGCAGCCAGATCCATCACCTTCCTAGAATTTAACAGATTGCTAAATAGGTGATGAGCAGACAGATTCAGCACCTTAACAGAATGTCAAGTACTCGAGGGTGTCAATACTTTTTACGTTGTGAAAGCTTTGTTTTGTTTGAAATAAGTCAAGTCTACTAAGGCAAGTCTACTGTGTAAGTCAACTAAGTCAAGCCAGCTGAATCAAGTCTACTAAGTCAAGTCTACTAAATCAAGTCTATTAAGTCAAGCCTACTAGGTCAAGTCTACTAAATCAAATCTACTAAGTCAAGTCTACTAAGTCAAGTCTACTAAGTTAAGTCTACTAAGTCAAGTCTACTAAGTTAAGTCTACTGGGTCTAGCCTCACCACAATTGGTTAGCATGTACACATCAATTTGTTTATTCTTCAATTCACTGTCATGTTACTAAATCAATTGAAACGGAACTTTCCAGATTACGAGTGTATTTCCTTACAAATAAGGCATCTCAGCAAACGTGTTCCAATTAGGGGGAAAAAAATGTTAGGAATTTCCTGGAATGTGGAGTCACTTAACTTGTCAAATGTCCTCGAGAGGTCATCTTAATCATCATGGGAAATATAAGCTTTACTTCTGGTGAATTTCCCTGGTTTAAGTGAAGGGGACTTTATTACAGTGATTCATAGGTTTATGTAGTTTTAAATCCTCTATGCATGAATCAACTTTGCCTCATATTGGCGTGTTGGAAAAATCTTCGGACGGCTAATTGACCCAACTTCCCGCGAACCTATCCAACTGAAATTTTGCACATAGACTGGTGGTGGACGACCACACATCAAATTTTGAGTCCCATGTCACCAAACTAAGCTATCAAAATTAAGTTTTCCTATTTTCCCAGGGAAAATACGATGACACTGATTTCATGAAATAAAATTCACGATAACTAAGCTAAATGAGATTCTTGTTTAACAAAATATCGCAAGTGCGTTTTGTGCATATTATTTTCTGTTGTTTTTCCTGAAACAGTTGGTGAAATAAATTTGCGGTGTAACAGCGGGGGAGGGGGTATATTATAATATTATTGTACTGTTCAGGGCGCCATTTAAAGAAAATAGAGTCAAACAATAATTGTGAAAAGACATATATCACGTGACTGCTCCGATATCCGTCGCAAAAATTTGAGGGAAAATCTCCGTAGATTTAATAGACACAGTAGAAAGTGGGGAATTAATAGAAAAAGTAGACTTAGTTGTGGCAAATGTAGTGGCTGCTGGAGAACAATAGCGGGATTCTCGTCTATGGAAATACTGACTGGTGACCAGACATTCCCTGTCATTGACACAGTTACTGGTTGACCAGACATTCCCTGTCATTGACACAGTTACTTGTTGATCAGACATTCCCTGTCATTGACACAGTTACTTGTTGACCAGACATTCCCTACCATTGACACAGTTACTTGTTGACCAGACATTCCCAACCATTGACACAGTTACTTGTTGACCAGACATTCCTTACCATTGACACAGTTACTTGTTGACCAGACATTCCCTAACATTGACACAGTTACTTGC